ACTATTTATTTTGATACTTTTACATTATTATATACCTTGTAAAACTAATGTAAAAAAATAATATGAAAAGATTTTAGAACAAATTCATCAATTTCTTAAAGGAAAAACATAAAAAAAACATTTTATTTTAAAAAATAAATGATATATTAACAAAAAATAATAAGAACCTCCTAAAATTTATTGCACAAATGCTCCTTTCTTTATCTTAGCAGCCTATTGTCAACATCTGATGTGAGATTTGCAATTTTAGTAGCTGGTAAGTTATTTGCAGCAACTTTAACTGCCTCCCAGAGGTCACACTTGCTGTTGAATTGCCTTCCATTAGAATAAATATCTCTCTTGAGGATGCTCCACAGGTTCTCAATGGGATTCAAGTCACAGCTATTTGAAGGCCAGTCCATAAGAGAATCTTCAACAAATCCCTTTTCTTTCAACCAGGATTTAGTAAACTTAGATGCACGACTTGGTGCGTTGTCTTGCATAAAGATCATAGATCTACGCTTGGCTAAAGACTGGTTATCAAGCCATTCAAAGAAATATTGCTCTAGAAAATCACAGTAACATTTGGAATTCATTTTAATCCCATGTTTCAGTTTAAATGGACCCACGAGCTTATTACCAATAATCCCAGCCAATATCATGATCCCACCGCTGCCTTGTTGGCATTTAAAAAATTTTCTTGAATCATGTTGCTTGCAAACCCATCCTCAAGCCCATCCATCAGGCCCATCGAGGGTGATCCTTGATTTATCTGTAAAAAACACTTTACTAAAATCAGTTTTCATGTATTTTTTTGCCCACTGCAATCTTCTTTCCTTATGTTTTTGTTAAAATGGGTTTCTTTATTTGATTTTTTACATCAGCAAACTTTCTTAATGCTTTACACCTTGTTTCCCTTGACACCAGAGGAGCTCCAGCGGCCTCAAATATGAACGCACTTGACGCATTTGGGTTTCTTATTAATTCTCTTCGGATATGTGATAAATCTCGTTTTGTTAAATTCCTGAATTCAGCCTGAGACTTTTTTTTCCTTGGTTGAATTCCCATTTGACATATTTTCTTGATTGTTTGATGATCCCTTTTCAAATCCTTAGAAATTTGAAGTGAAGATTTTCCTTTGCTAATTTCTTTGATTATATAGTTCTTTTCATTCATTGTTAGTTTTTTTTTACAAGCCATAATACTAAATTCTAGTTCTTGCAAATAATCTCTTGACACTGCAGATTGCTATAATTACTGAAAAAATACTAAATATCAATCTGAAATTGAAAATTGGGACTTAATTGCTTTCATGCTTACTCAATATACATAATAGTACAAATTATTTCATTGGTTAACACATATCTATGAATTTTACATAAAATATTTGACAATACCTCTTTTGTATATAATCTATAGACGCAGTTTAGTTATTTCTGTTTGATTTATTTGAATGTTTTAAGCCTTGTGGTAAAATTATATGAAACGTGTGGTAAACTTGTTTGAAACATGTAGTAAACTTGTATGCAGCTTTTTACAAAAAAAAAAGTTATTCAATATGGATGGCTTTATGAATTTTAAAAGTTGCATATTGGTGTATTGTAGGTAGGATGCATGTTCATATTTGAACAATTAAAAAAAAAAGGCATACAAAATCTTCAGTTTCTACTACGGACCATTTATTTTACATTTTTATATAAACTGTAAGAAAACCAAGTTCTCAATGTCTCTTGGGTACGTCTGTTTTTTTGGCATTCAGGAATTAGGTTCAGTAAGGATAAGCATCATTATAATGGTCAAGCTCAATTCATCCTTGTGTTGAGTTGGAATGGCCAAAGTAAAATTTTTACACAATTGGAGGTTTAAGAATGGTTTTAATGGTTGAGCTGAAGTCAGCCTTGTACTGAATTGAAATCACTAAAGAAAAGTTAATACTTCATTGTTGTAGGTTTAAGCATGGTTATAGTCGTCAAGTTCAAGTCAGCCATGTGCTGAGTTTGAACGACCAAAGAAAAGGTTGATTTGTTTTCATAGGTAGAGGTTTTCGAAGACATGCAAACACCATGCACTGGAAAGTGGACAGAGAGTTCAAACTTCAGCGGTCCAGAGAAATGAATGTGCCACAGTGTGGCATCTTCTTTTTTTTTTTTTTTCCAAATGCTGATATATCTTGGAACAAAAGGGAGAAAAAGAAAGAGAAAGTAAATACTTGTCTTTTTATAGATTTAAAAAGCATCAGCTTACGAGTGTTTGACAAAGCCAAGTGAGATAATAAAATTCTGGTTCTTTTATTATTAGTATCAGGAGAAAATGTATTTTTTTCTTTTTTTATTATTCATTATTATTATTTTATTGTTTATTTTTCATTTTCCCACAGCTTAAAAAAAATTGAAAAAGATTTACCAATCAGTTCGTGTTTAATGTGAGATGAAATATTCTTTATTTTGTTCAAATCTGAACCAAAATTCCATGTTGTATTACAAGATGAAGAAAATAGCAAAACACACATGATTGAATGAGGAAAACAAATAGAAAAAAAGTGTGTCAAGCCCAAATGTTCTTAAAAACAAAACATTAATCAGGAAATAAGTAAGAATTAAAGAAATATATAGATTAACTCAGTATAGGAGAGCTTTTCCCTTTCATTTCTTTAAATTTGAAATCCTCCATATCAGAACTGCTTTCTATAAAGCATCTAAGAGAGCTCTTTCTGCTTTCCATCAGCATGGCTGATGCTAACCTCCAGGAGAGTGATTAATTATGCTTTCTCATACTGTTTTCTGCTGACATGAAGTGGAAAGATTATATTGAATCAATTGCTAGATCTGCTGTGAAGAAAGTTTGTTCACTGTGTTGTGCTAGACAATTTTTCTCTCCAGAGTCTATCTTACATATTTATAAGTCTACCATTCATCCATATGATCTGGTGTTCCTGCTATAAATTTAGAGATTCTTGATAAAATCCAAAGAAGGATCTGCAATGTTATTGGCCTGGACCTGGCATCTCAATTTCAGTTATTTTCCCACCACCGTAATGTTGCTTCTCTATGCCTTTTCTATAATTACTTTTACGTATCTGTCTATATTTCTGAGATGAGGTATTATGTACATTATTTACATTATGTTATCAGTTATGCCTTTATCCACTGTGCCATGTCCTACACTAGGACATGGCACAGTGGATAAAGGCATTAGTTAGATCCAGTGACAGGACCCAAAGAATGTGAGTTCAATACCCAGTTAAGGCAGTGGAGAACTTTCAGAGGGGAATTAATAGGAGAAAACTGACATCCATTAAAACATGGCACATGGAACTAGAACAGTCTACCCCAGTGAGCAAAATAAAGGGTTCAGTTCGACATTCCAACTACCTGAAGAAGGCTGGAGCATACAATGGCTGAAGCGTTGTGATAAATATGGCGACAAAGATGAGGACAATAGTTTGAATAATGTAAATAAATTAATTTTACAGTAATTATTCTTATAAACTTTGCTCTATGGTACCTAAAATTTATAATGTTAAGAGCAGTACTAGATTGGCCATAAGGTCTCATCATTTTACTATTGATTTAACTAGATGTAACCATAAGTTCTATGTTAACAGTTTCTTTTCTCACACTTTTTACATGTGGAACTCTCTTCCGGCTTCTTGCTTTCCAGTCAACTTTGATCTTCAAAAATTTAAATACAATGTTAATCATTATCTACTGTCTTTTTGATTCGCCTTCTTTTATTCTGCTCACTCCTTAAAATTGTTTTTCTTTTTCTTATTCTTTCACAATCAGTAACGCCTTGTGTCTTAGTGGCTTTATTGCCTTGCTTGAGATGAAATGACTCAAAGAACTGTTTATGCTTTCTATGTAAACTTGCAGATAGCTTTTTCAAAAAGAAAAATCAATGTTGTTTCCTTTAATATTGATGGTGCCAAAGAGTTGAGTTGTTTAAAATTTTTTCTCAGTCAGTTTATGTTTCATGTGAGATCAAATATTCTCTGTAATCTTCAAATCTGGACTTTGACCTAACCAAAATATTTGCTTGATGGATTTGTTCTCAAGCCACTTTTTATTTGTCCTTGGCAGAATGGCAAGGAACTGCCTCCTTAAAGAATATTGTCTAATCATTCCTTTTCCGAAAACACCTTTGCATTTGTGGGAAGTATTCTGTATTCCAATGCATTGACATTTCCTATTTTTGTCTTTGTTTTGTGGTCCAAACTGAATGGATCAATGTATAATACTAAGAAATATACTTATACTCTACAGAGATTTCATATTTTAAAATCTAAATCTTAGTCAATCTTGTTGCAAAAACTGGAAAAATACTGTAGACCTATCACGCCACACATAAATAAAAAGAAATTTGAAATAACGCAGGGAAGACTGAAGAACTCCCAAACAAAAATATATCAATCAAAACAATAAGAAATGTCTGGATATTAACCCTATCTGCTTATTTTGGGCTTCCTATAATTTTCCTTTTAAATATGATCAAATTTAATATTTAAAAATGTAACATGGGTTAAAATTGTCAACCACTTTCCACGGCAAGTAATATACACTTTTGATTTCTAAAGATTTGCTTCCTCTGTTAGAAGCTTCATAGGAGATTGTTGCAATGAGGTTGTATTTGTGGTTATATATTTCCCAGGGGAAGGAATCTGTGCTTCTCCCTGCAGATTCCAAAATTAAGGGACCATCCAGGACTTGTAACGACTAAAATAAAAATTGACCATATAAATATGAAAGAATTGAATAATTTATGAGAAACAACCATATATTGGCCAAAAATAACGAGAGTAAGTTCTTTCTTCAAGTGGAATTTATGACCAAGAATGTGGTTCCCAAGATGCAAATAGTCAATTTGTATGTATCCATCTGTCAGCATGCAAGAAACATCTGGAGAATTCAGTCCTTTTAATAGATGAAGACAATGTTGGAAGGCAGAACCAGAAGGATTAATATTTTTGGCACATGGCATGGTATCTACATTTACAGGAATCTGTGGATGTTATTTGTTTCAGAATGAAATTATTTAAAGTTTGCAATTCCAAATTATGCATTATTGGCAGAATATATGTAAACATTGATTCTATTGATCTATCTATCTCAGAGTGTTCATATCTATCTATTTTCCCATATATTTATCTTTCTCAGTCTTTTCTTACCTCACTTTGTTTATATCTATCACCATCAGTTCATATCTATCTTTCTATCTATCTATCTATCTATCTATCTCTTTCAGTCTCTCCATTATCTATCTATCTATCTATTTATCTATCTATCTATCTATCTATCTATCTATCTATCTATCTATCTATCTATCTATCTATTTCAGTCTCTCCATTATCTATCTATCTATCTATCTATCTATCTATCTATCTATCTATCTATCTATCTATCTATCTCAGTCTGTTCATATAGATATAGACTAAGATAGACAGATATACAGATAAATATTCAATCTGTTCCTATCCATCTATCTATCTATCTATCTATCTATCTATCTATCTATCTATCTATCTATCTATCTTCATATCTATTTATTTCAGTGTCTTCATGCATATCTTTCTCAGAAAGATAATATTCAATCTGTTTTTATGTATCTATTCACATCTATCTATATATCTATCTGTCTATTTCAGTCTCTTTATATCTATCTATCTATCTATCTATCTATCTATCTATCTATCTATCTATCTATCTATCTATCTATTTCAGTCTCTCCATTATCTATCTATCTATCTATCTATCTATCTATCTATCTATCTCAGTCTGTTCATATAGATATAGACTAAGATAGACAGATATACAGATAAATATTCAATCTGTTCCTATCCATCTATCTATCTATCTATCTATCTCTCTATCTATCTATCTATCTATCTTCATATCTATTTATTTCAGTGTCTTCATGCATATCTTTCTCAGAAAGATAATATTCAATCTGTTTTTATGTATCTATTCACATCTATCTATATATCTATCTGTCTATTTCAGTCTCTCCATTATCTATCTATCTATCTATTTATCTATCTATCTATCTATCTATCTATCTATTTCAGTCTCTCCATTATCTAACTATCTATCTATCTATCTATCTATCTCAGTCTGTTCATATAGATATAGACTAAGATAGACAGATATACAGATAAATATTCAATCTGTTCCTATCTATCTATCTATCTATCTATCTATCTATCTATCTATTTATTTCAGTGTCTTCATGCATATCTATATCAGAAAGATAATATTCAATCTGTTTTTATGTATCTATTCACATCTATCTATATATCTATCTGTCTATTTCAGTCTCTTTATATCTATCTATCTATCTATCTATCTATCTATCTATCTATCTATCTATCTATCTATCTCAGTCTGTTCATATAGATATAGACTAAGATAGACAAATATACAGATAAATATTCAATCTGTTCCTATCTATCTATCTATCTATCTATCTATCTATCTATCTATCTATCTATCTATCTATATATCTATTTCAGTGTCTTCATGCATATCTATCTCAGAAAGATAATATTCAATCTGTTTTTATGTATCTATTCACATCTATCTATATATCTATCTGTCTATTTCAGTCTCTTTATATCTATCTATCTATCTATCTATCTATCTATCTATCTATCTCAGTCTGTTCATATAGATATAGACTAAGATAGACAGATATACAGATAAATATTCAATCTGTTCCTATCCATCTATCTATCTATCTATCTATCTATCTATCTATCTATCTATCTATCTATCTATTTCAGTCTCTCCATTATCTATCTATCTATCTATCTATCTATCTATCTATCTATCTATCTCAGTCTGTTCATATAGATATAGACTAAGATAGACAGATATACAGATAAATATTCAATCTGTTCCTATCCATCTATCTATCTATCTATCTATTCATCTATCTATCTATCTATCTATCTATCTATCTATGTATTTCAGTCTCTCCATTATCTATCTATCTATCTATCTATCTATCTATCTATCTATCTATCTATCTATCTCAGTCTGTTCATATAGATATAGACTAAGATAGACAGATATACAGATAAATATTCAATCTGTTCCTATCCATCTATCTATCTATCTATCTATCTATATATCTATCTATCTATTTCAGTCTCTTTATATCTATCTATCTATCTATCTATCTATCTATCTATCTATCTATCTATCTATCTCAGTCTGTTCATATAGATATAGACTAAGATAGACAGATATACAGATAAATATTCAATCTGTTCCTATCTATCTATCTATCTATCTATCTATCTATCTATCTATTTCAGTCTCTCCATTATCTATCTATCTATCTATCTATCTATCTCAGTCTGTTCATATAGATATAGACTAAGATAGACAGATATACAGATAAATATTCAATCTGTTCTATCTATCTATCTATCTATCTATCTATCTATCTATCTATCTATCTATCTATCTATCTTCATATCTATTTATTTCAGTGTCAGATGCATATCTTTCTCAGAAAGATAATATTCAATCTGTTTTTATGTATCTATTCATCTATCTATATATCTATCTGTCTATTTATATATATCTATCTATCTATCTATTATCTATCTATCTATCTATCTATCTATCTATCTATCTATTTCAGTCTCTCCATTATCTATCTATCTATCTATCTATCTATCTATCTATCTATCTATCTATCTATCTATCTCAGTCTGTTCATATAGATATAGACTAGGATAGACAAATATACAGATAAATATTCAATCTGTTCCTATCTATCTATCTATCTATCTATCTATCTATCTATATATCTATTTCAGTGTCTTCATGCATATCTATCAGAAAGATAATATTCAATCTGTTTTTATGTATCTATTCACATCTATCTATATATCTATCTGTCTATTTCAGTCTCTTTATATCTATATCTTCATCTATCTATCTATCTATCTATCTATCTATCTATCTATCTATCTATCTATGTATTTCAGTCTCTCCATTATCTATCTATCTATCTATCTATCTAAATATTCTATCTATCTGTTCAGTCTGTTCATATAGATATAGACTAAGATAGACAGATATACAGATAAATATTCAATCTGTTCCTATCCATCTATCTATCTATCTATCTATCTATCTATCTATCTATCTTCATATCTATTTATTTCAGTGTCTTCATGCATATCTTTCTCAGAAAGATAATATTCAATCTGTTTTTATGTATCTATTCACATCTATCTATATATCTATCTGTCTATTTCAGTCTCTTTATATCTATCTATCTATCTATCTATCTATCTATCTATCTATCTATCTATCTATTTCAGTCTCTCCATTATCTATCTATCTATCTATTTCAGTCTCTCCATTATCTATCTATCTATCTATCTATCTATCTATCTATCTATCTATCTATCTCAGTTTGTTCATATAGATATAGACTAAGATAGACAGATATACAGATAAATATTCAATCTGTTCCTATCTATCTATCTATCGATCTATCTATCTATCTATCTATCTATTTCAGTGTCTTCATGCATATCTATCTCAGAAAGATAATATTCAATCTGTTTTTATGTATCTATTCACATCTATCTATATATCTATCTGTCTATTTCAGTCTCTTTATATCTATCTATCTATCTATCTTAATCTTAATCTTATTAGTCTCTTAATTTCTATCTAATCATGTTTTTCACTCTTTTATGTCTATATTCATCTCTATCACATTTATTTATATTTATCAATCTTGTTTCATAATTAAACTGAAGTGCCAAAATATTAGAGACCGCAATACACTGGATGCTTTCATCCTCTTCCATTTTTATTATTACACTCAACCAGATGTGGTTGAGTGTAATGATATGTGGTGTAATAGGTAAAGTGGTAGTGTAGCTATGGCAGTGTAGCTGGAAATGTCATGGGATACTGAAGAAGAGAAATTAACTAAAACAATGGCAAAAGAAGTGGGTAAAAGTACTTCAATATGAACAATTTTCCCCACACTTACTCCCACCAAACAGAAAAATGTAAAAATGCTGGAAAACTAAATAAAAATTAATTAAATTTTCCTTGTCTGTTATCAAATACAAATCAAATATAGATTGGAATCTGACAGAATAATAAGATAACAAATAGGAAACATTTATCAATCAATCAACGTTTCTCTTTTATTAAAACTTCATCAGAGAATGAGTTATGGAGAACAAGACGAAAGAAATTCTTGTATTTTTACTTTTGTGTTGGTTGATTTTCATTGGTTAATAATAGTATAATTTATAGTATTCTGAATTCAACAAGACATGTTGTGTCTATTCAAAGACTTGAATTTGGAATGCCACAAATTATACTCATGTTTGTTTAACAAGTCAAATGCATGTGAAACCTGATTAACCAATGAAAATCGAACAACACAAAGTCAAAATAACAGAATTTCTCATTCTCTGATGAAGTTTTAGTAAAAGTGAAACATGTTAGATTGGTAAACATTTCTTATTTGTTCTTTCTTATCATATATATATATATATATTAAGACATTGTTATGTTTATATGTTCTTTTTATAGATACAAATATTTAAGTAAATGCTCTGTTTATAATAAACAGTATTAACGACATTTACCTGCTTGAATGTCCGAAAATATGCATCCTCTGACAGGAATTGAACATGTATCCTATATGGAACATCATATAGCCTGACGTGCTTTACCGATTTAGCCACAGAGGAGTGTTTCAGTTAGCAAGGTCGATATATATATATATATATATATATACACATGTGTATATATATATATATATATATGTATGTATGCATAAGAAATGTAATATATATATATATAATTATTTATTTAAAAATTATAGCATAAATATGTTATAAAATCACTACAAATATAGCCATTTTGTTTCAACACCTCTGATGTCTTATCAAGTGATGATGTTGAATTCAACATCATCACTTGATAAGACACCAATAAGACTTTTTTTTTAAATAAATAATTATATTCGCTCTACTCTGTAATGAGCACTCTTTTAAGAATAGTAATTGTTGGTTATTGGAATTTATTCCGTATACACCAATTATATACTGGATACACAGAAATTGGAGCAGTTAGAAAGCCCCATCAATATTGGAAAGAGTGATAACAGCAATTGGATTTGAGATTGATTGATTTGTTTTTTGAGCTTCATTCATATCTTTTGAAAGGCTATTTGCACAAAAAGTAAATACAATGAACCTGACTGAAATTTGAACATGGCTCTCTTAGTTCTCACTCTGAGCTGCTATCCAATATGTCACCCACTTGAGAAACCTATTTTCATGAAAAATTGTTTTAATAGAAAGATTTTATATATTTCAACTGAAATTAGCACTGGCTGCACACTCAAAGAAGGCTAAATGATTTTTTTTTAAAAAGAAAATTGTTTATATTTTTGATTATTCTGAAGTCTATTGAGTAAGAATTTATAAATCTCAACTCTCATATGGTTTTTTCCCATGCATGCATACCTTAAGTGCAGCGGGGTTGACAATATGGATCACTAGCAATCAGATACCGAGACATCCTGTGTGGTGCAGATATGCACTTGGTAGCTAGGAGGTTATCACCCAACTTAACACGCCAATACATCTGGCCTCTCTGATGTACAGAGTATTTTCTGACATCTTCTGAAGTGAGCCACATCATCATCTGTGTGTCATGTCTCTTCAAGATGCTGACAATCATGGCTCTCCACAATTTTCTGTCTTTGTTGCTCTGAGTAAAATCTGTCTTTTTGCTATATCAACGTAATCCTTGTTCTGGCACAAGCGCATAAGGTAGCTTATGTGTTGCTTTCCTCCATCCCTACTGCCTTCAAGAAGCCCTGTGAGTGTCAAATTATCTAAACTGTCTTTTCTCATGATGTGTCCTAGAAATTTCAACTGTCCTTTTTGTTTCATCTTTGTCAGCTTACAGCCATACACATTGAAACACTGGTTCTAATATGATTATTGAAGTTAAGCAACATCGAGCTTGATCAGTACCTAGATAGGTGACTGCTTGAGAATACTAGGTACTATAAGCTGGGGCGTGTGGGTGGTGTAATGGATAATAGATCAAATTGGAAATTGGGGAACTGAGTTCCATTTCCAATTGGGATTGTTATATTCACTTATATACAAATATCCTTGGGAAAGATATGAATGCACCTCTTTTTGCCCTCAGCTATGGATTAATTAGTATTAACTTGTATAAGTGAATCATTATTATCTACCCCAAAATTTCTTCCAATCTAAAAATATTTTCTGTCTTTAAATAACCTGCAAAAGGTTGAGAAGCCATAAAAAGTGAATGGGTGAACCAAGACTAAAATTTCATCATTGCTCACATGTTCAGTCCATGGCATTCTCAGAAACCATCTGTAGAACCACAAGAAGTACATTTTGTAGATTCTTTCAGATGATAAATTTGTTATTATTAATAGTTGATAAGAAATACAGTTGACTGAAGCAAGTTTGCGAAATAGTCAAAAGTTTAAAATCATTAATCTGTAAATAGAAATGAAAAACTCTGTGAATGCAACACTAAAGCAGGTTTTATATATTTGTCCGTTTGATTCTATTTCCAGGAATATTGCTCCGACTTTGTCTGTCTCTGATAAAATAAAGTTTTCTGCTATTCATTTTCTTGCCTCAAATCAGCTTTTTCTTTATGTTGCTCTCCTCCTGCTGGTCTACCAAAACAAAACCCAAAATATCAGCTAATACTACTGAACCAAATTCACACTATGCCAGCCCCCAAAATTATGTTGAGAATTCTTACCCTGTGGCCATTCTCAAAATATGAAAAATCCACCCACCTACCCCCGCCAAAAAAAAGACTTTTTTTCAAGACTGATATTGTTATGCTTTGAAAAGATTATTTTTTATTATTATATTTTTTATTCTTAAACGGCTTGTATTTTTGCTTCGTTTTCTTTTATTTGTCTATTTTTATAGAATACAGGAGGAATTATTTTTCTGATGATGTATTTTGAACAGAAGAATCAAATGTTTGCTTTAATGCGACTCTTTCTATATCAAATGAAAAGATGCTCAAATCAAAAGTCATGTCTTGGGTGAGGCAAGAAACCCCTGAAAATAGAATCAGTAAAAACATTGGTAAAAGTTTGGTGACTGAGTGAATGGAAAATCTCCTAATACTAATGAATGTTGTTTTTTTTGGGTTTTTTTTAAAGAGAATCTTCTATGATGCTTAAAAATTATGCTTGTTCAACATGAGAAACTGTGATGAATTTACATAACAGTTCAGTGCTCTTTTCTTTTCTAATGAAATTTTTCTGTTTCTTAATACTTTGCTTAGCTTTTGAAAGGCATCTTTCACTATTCTAATGCACCTTAATTGCACCATTAGCTTGTTCACATGGACTACTGGATTAAAGTGTTAGCGAAAATATATCTGGTTCCCAGGCTGTTGTGGGTTCAATCTCCATGTCTGGTAAAGCTGAAAAGTCAAACATTCAAAAGTGTTTATGCAGTCTTGTAGGCAATGAACTGTTTCTTGACCCTACAGCCTCTTTCCTACAGATGAAATGTCCCCCTTTCCTGCAGATGAAATGTCCCCCTTTCCTGCAGATAAAATGTCCCTCTTTCCTACAGATGAAATGTCCACTTTTCCTACAGATGAAATGTCTCCCTTTCCTACAGATGAAATGTCTCCCTTTCCTACAGATTAAATGTCCCCTTTTCCTACAGATGAAATGTCCCAGGCCTATTGTTAGTCTATTGCTATTTCTATGGCTAATGTTCAGGTGAGCTACATTCCTTCAGTCCACCACTTCAGACCTTTACAACCAAGACCCTCCATGCCACATACACAGGGCTAAATGAATTTCATTCCCTTGATATTCCATTAGCAAGAAGAAAGTTCTATTTTGACTGCTTCTTCCTGATAACCACTACTTTGTCAAACTGACTCCCTAGAAGATGCTCCCCTGATCATTACAATCTTAACCTCTTCAAGACAACTGTTATCCTTTGTACATATTGTTATTATCTGCACTTATTTCCTTTTTTTTTACATCCATACAACAACCTCATTCAGTAATCCTCTATCTTGAGTGGCTTTTAGACCTTGTATTGGGTGAACATTTAGTAAAAAAACAAAAAAAAACTCTGTTTCAGTGGAAAAGAGGGACAAGTGACACAAAGGCAAATAAAACTGGTAAGTATTAACTGACATACGTTATCTTTCTCACTGTGAAAATCAGAATGAGAATAATGCATATTTGTTGACTGACAAAAGGGTTTAGTTCAAAATTGCAAAAAGTTACTAATTACAAAGGCAGACATCTGAAGATGTCCAGAGGATACAAAAATGAAACATGGTGAGTATAACACCTAAGATGAGCTTGCCAGTCCAGACAGCCAAACATGTGATGGAATAACCTGTCACCCCCATGAGTGACTACAATATAAGTAGTAACTATCCTATAAGTATCTTTAAGTCAATGGACTACAGAGACTAGCTGAGTCTGTTGAGTACAACTCAGACTTACAGGAGAACTACCGACCTTCCAATAGTAGCAATCCCTACTGAATTGACTTACAATGGCCTTGTGCATAACTGTTACCTTTATTCTTATTGTGCTGGTTTTTTACAATAATCCTTTACTTATTTTATCCACCTCTCAAATATATATTCCTATTAGCACAGAATATAACACATATAATATTGAAGGAGATTATGTTGATTATGTTGTTGGAGAAGACAAAAGCTTTTTATATATTTATGTGTATAAATGGAGAAATATGTTGATGACACTGGTAGATCTTTTGGGATTGCAGTGATGCTGTCAAAGGTCTTTTATCCCTTTAACATTTGGTTTCTGGCGTCAACCATCCCAGAGGAAGCGGCCAGTCTTGTGGAAATCTGAGGAAGTATAGGAGAAGATGAGTAAGCAATCAACCTAACCTCCACCCCCAAATCCTTTCCTTTTTGAGCTATTGGCTTTCCCAACAAATACCCAGCCCCATTCTGACCTTTGCAGCATGCAAATTAAAGCCAACCAACTCTATTTCCAAAATGTTTGTCCTCTATCGTGTCTGTGATTCACACATGAATAGCTAATTGACACATTTCCTGTTTTAAATACACACATATAACTGCATGTTGTTCACATATACATACACATACATATATATATATATATATATATATATATATATATATATATATATATATATATATATATATTGTTTTTTATTGTGCAAACAAGAGATTTCTTTTGGGAATTGGTGTACATAGAAATTTTTCAAATGATTGTTTCTGCTTTTGACTGGTCTATTAGAAACCACTAAGTTCAAAACTACTTCCTCCACATTTTTAAATGTGATATCCCTTTAGGATGTAGGTGATAATGGCTCTCCACCGTTTCCTTTTCTTTATTATCCAGGAATTACCATTACTTCCAAACTAAGTCTGAAAAAAGAAATCTGTTGCTTACATGCAAGGAAAATTCAATAAACCAAAGTTAAAGAAATTCTTTTTCAGTCACTTTTAATGAAACATGTATTAGAGAGTGATTGTTACCCAAATACACTCACCCCCTACACACTTATATATATCAGACAATATGAAAGGAACTTACTTAAAATAAATAGACAAAACTTGTCTATATTATTTAATGAAACATGCATCAAAGAAAAATTGCTGCCTAAATACACACACAATATATATATATATATATATATATATATATATATATCCAATATATTTGTGTGTATACATAATGCCAGATGTTATTATACAATATTATCAGTCCTGACCTGGCATCTCAGCTTCAGTCACTTTCCTACTGCCATAATGTAGCTTCCCAATACCTTTTCTATAAATGTTTCCATGGTAATTGTTCTGATGAGCTATCCTTTATGGTATCAAGACTTTACAATTTAAGTGCAGTACTAGATTGGCAATTAGGTCTCATCATTTTACAATTGAAATGGTTAGATGTAACGATAAGTTCTATGCTAACAATTTCTTCTCTTACACTTCTCACTTGTGGAACTCCCTTCTGGCTCCATGCTTTCCAGCCAACTTTAATCGTCAAAAATCTAAATTTTTCAACAGTTTTTATTTCCTCTGACCTGGAAAAAGATAAGCTTATTCTTTTATTTTTTCTCTTTCCATAATAATGTTTTACTTATGATTATATTCTTTCACACTCAGTAACCACTTGAATCTTAGTGGGTTGAGGTGAAATGATTTGAAGAGAAAGAAAGAAAGACAGAAAGAAAGAAAGAAAGAAGTCAATGTATTTACCAAAACATTGGTATTAACTAACTAATCCCGACAATATTTTCAGGATATACTTATATCTATATAAGTATAGCATGCGAGTTTCAGTTTATATCTACCTTATATTTTTTTTTTAATTGGAATCACCTCTTGCAAGGCAATAAAGCCACTAAGACAAAAGGAGTTACAGGGTGTGGAAGAATTAGGAACAGAAAATAATAATAAGCAGGAAGAGAAGAGAGTAATCAGGAGGACAGTAGATAATGATTGATATTGCATTTAATTTTTTGAAGATTAAAGTTGGCTGGAAATATTGGAGCCAGAAGAAAGTTCCGGAAGTGAGAAGTAAAAAAAAAAGAAACTGTCTACATAGAACTTACAGCTACATCTAGCCAGCTCAACTGTAAATTGATGAGATTATGATACCAGTCTAGTACTATGCTTAAATTCAAAAAATCTAGGTATAATAGTGAAGATCTCATCTGAACAATTACCATGAAAGTATTTATAGAAAAGACACAAAGAGGCAAGGTAAATAGCAGCAATATCTTAAGAACAGGATGAATGGTAGACTTATAGATATGTAACATGGATTCTGGAGAGAAAAATTGTCTTGCATGACAAAGTGCACCAATTTTCTTAGCATCTGACCTAGAAATAGATTCAATATAGTTTTTCCACTTTATGTCAGCTGCAAACATTAGCTAAAGAAGGCACAATGAATCACATTCCTGGAGGTTAGCATCAGTCATATAAGATATTTATTATAAACATTTCTGTCAATTATATGCCATGCATAATACATGCTTAGGCGATCATGTATCTTTCGATACATGATTGACAAGGTAGATTTTTTCTTGCAGTAGGTTGCCATTTCTTTTTGTGGTAGACCAGTTCCAATCCAAGTCTATAGAACCCAGTCTATCCTGGGCGGGGGGGAGAAGAAAGGTTTCATATCTTTCCCAATGGTATTAGCACATAAGTGAATGTAACTCTGATCTCCAATACCTCAATCTGAGCCACTATCCTTTACTCCACCATGCCTCCTCAGGATTTGTTGATCATTTTTTTTTTTAATTCACTTCATAAAGTCAATATACCAAAGAAGAAAGCTGTGTGGTGATGACATGATATTTCTGGGGTGAGGACTTTCTAGACTAACATTAATAACCATGGCAGAGGATTCTCCTGATGAAATCAATGGCCATGTGTCTGTGATCGAGGAGAGCTTTCAAGTTGGAAGATATCAACAGTAATCTGACCTGGAGGAGAATGGGCTCCACAAGGTCCACTTGCCCAAGACATGCCATATATGAATGAACACCTCTCAGTTTTCAACCCAGATACGTATAGGCAAAACAAGAAGAGGGAGACAATGGCAAAAAAAATGGTATGACAATGTCACTGAGTGTACTGGAAGATCAACAGAAACCCAAACATTGACATATAGAGAGGCTGATCAGGTGACACTACAACCACACCTGTCATCAGGCTGATGATGATGTTGATGACAACGACAATGATGATGATGATGATTTTATCCAGGTATACAGAATATTGTGTTGAACAAATCTATGTTTCTATGTGGCCTAATTATTTTTGGATTTATTGATAAATATAAATTTATGTTTCATTTCATTTGTTTGCTAATAAAATCTAACATTCATAAAACAAGTTGTTATCACTAACTTTAATAAGAATAAATATTATGAACTCTAACTCATATGATATACTGCGCATATAAAGAGGTAAAAAAAATTAAATAAAATTCAACTATATTGATCCATATTTTTTTAATATAATCTAAGCTTTCGGCTTACTTAAGCCATTATCAAAGATGTAAATTACAAATGTTTGTAATTTACATCTTTGATAATGGCTTAAGTAAGCCAAAAGCTTAGATTATATTACAAAAAATATGGATCAATATTGTGAATTCTTTCTTTGTTTAACGATAATGTTATTAAACTTATCAGGTATTTATTTAAAAAATTTACATAAAATAAATAGACAACACTTGTCTATATTATTTAATGAAACGTGTATAAATGAAAATATGCTGCCTAAATACACACAATATATATATATATATATATATATATATATATATATATATATATATATATAAGTAGACAATGAAGTTAACACAACAGCCAGAGGAGACAGTCTATTTCATGTGAAAAATACTTTTAACCCATAAATGTAGCATACGTTAAAACTATATATTATCATATATATATATAGTAGTTTAATAATATATATATATATATATATATATATATATATATATAGGATTAATATATATATATATATATATATATATATATAGGATTAATATATATAGGATTAATATATATAGGATTGATGCTATATTCAGCAACCTGACTCTAGACTTTCATAGACAGAACTTTGTTAAATATTTCAGTTCACTTGTCAGGA